TTCATTTGTTGATTTGAATCTATGGTTTGAAATATAATATAATAAACCTAAAACGGAAATACAAATTTAATTAATATATTAAATATATATAAAAAACCAAATCACAAAAGCATATAAATGACCAATTATAAATTAGCATATAAATGAACTAATATTCAAATGGAAACTGAAAATATAAAAATAAAAGCTTACTTAAAATATGACTAAATACTGTAATAGCATATACACATAACAATACTAAAATAACACAGGGTTTTGAGTTATTTTTAATATATGGTTTGAATTTTACACTTGAATCTATGGTTTTGAATCTTGCATTTGTTCGTTAGGTTTGATTCTTTTATTTATTTATCATTTATTATATTCATTATATATACTTATAAATAAAAAATAATGAATACAACAATGAATATACTGTATGCATAAAAATCTTTATAAACCAATATTTAAATATATATTTGAACATCTTCCAATTACAACTCTCATTTTTGTATGATTGTCAATAAATAATAATAAGACTAATACTATTTAATATTCTATTTCATGCTATAAATTCATACTTTGTAATTCTAGTAGGTTCAGTCTACCAGGCTGGTTCATGGACTGTGGGCACGGTGAGCCTCCTGTGGCCTTATTACTCAGCTATCTTGCAAAGGTAAGGAGGGTTCGGAGATGCTCACAAATCTTATGCAGTAATGATCTCCAAAGGGACTTTGCTTTTAGAGCCCCGGCCCTTGAGCTACACGGCAGCTATTCTTTCAAAACGGACTTAAACTAGAGAGATCTGTACACGAAAGCCCCCTCTAATGTGACAGGAACGGAGGTTCTTCCAGCAGGTAGCCTGTCACCGAATAGCTGTAAACAAAATACTGATTGCAGCAGGGACCGCAGACACAACAAAAAATGTCCTACCATGATGTTACCAAAATGAGGTTCCATAGGTCCCCGATACTGTGCTTCCAAAGAGCTCTTCATCTCCTTCAGCTGGTTGAAGGAATTAGAAAAAATAAGACAGATGAAAGCATGGTTGTACAAACCGCTGACAAGTCACAAAGACAGGACTCGACATAACTGGAGCAGAGCCCCCTTTTCACCTTCCTCCTCCGCAAAAAAATCTGCACACAAACACTGGGAAACGTGGCTCCCAGCAAATCTACAAGAGGAGGACAGGCAGCCGAAATCAGCATGTATTGATGGTAGATATGTCTGGATTAGCCTGCCGTGTTGCTTAGCATGGCCAGAGCAGATTTTCTCCCTTTTTTTCACACGAGATTGGATTGTGGTGAGTTTTTCCTTTGTTGTGTATTTCCTAACATTGGGCTATAATAGAGTCACTGCTATACGCCATCTGTACAATGCAGTGCTCATATCGACAACACAGGAAACATTCGGCACACTCAAACCTGAGGATATTTCACAATGGACTGGTACTGTAGCTTTGCAGATGGGTTAATTTTGTCTTTCTGTGTCACCCACGGCTGGTAAAGTCGCGGGGGTGGAAGAGGAAGGAGCTGTCGTGCTGAAACAGACGCATCCCTCAGCAGCTCTCAAGAAATCCTACCAACTTAAGTAGAGGTGTTTCTTCTCCACATATCTGAACGGCCTTATAATTAGACACATTTGCTCAGCGTGACTGCAATGCCACATTTCTTGATCTTTTTTTTTTTGGCACTTCCTCTGTATACTTTGCATTAGATGTTTATACTGCACTGATCCCTTTAAGTCTACCGGCGCTGTACAAGATCCTATCATCTCGCAGAGATTGCCAGTGAATTGAAAATTTGGAAATATTTTTATAAGTATACTTTTTTTTACTATTTGGTGCCTGATTAGAAATTATAGATTCACTTTACAGTGTATTTATGGCTTTTCAATGACATATTGCATAATATTACCAAATTTCCTCTGTTTTTATTCTACATTAATGTAGTAAGCTAACAGCTACGACCAGCATTAAGTGGTAATGAATATTTCTTGTGGTTAGGTTAAATATTCCAATAACACATTTTTGATCAGTCACTGAGGAAAGGGGACAGGATTTACACTCTTCAATTAAAATGGTAAGAACAGCATTACACAAGAGTTGTGTATAGAAGTTATTGAGCCTTAACCAATGAATTCAGGTTGGTAAATCATTGGTTTTGCACTTAAAGAATGGCTTCACAAGTTTGCAGGTCAGTGTACGTCAAAACTGCTGCAACGGCACAACTATTAGAAATGCAACCTTTATATACATTCTTTATTTAGGCTTTATTCAAATGGTCAACCCACAAAACGACAAACTTGTTATGAAAAAAAAACTGCACATAATGTATCATTAAGCTTACATTATGTACACTACTGGTCAAAAGTCAACAAAGGGGTCAATACATCTGAAAAGACATTTTATTTAGTAAAGGAACATTAACTTGATCAAAAGTGAGAGTAAAGACTTAAAATGTCTAACACTGTTCTTTTAAATTTATTTATGCATCATGGTTTCCACAAAAAATATTAATCATCTCAATTGTTTTCAGCATTGATAATAATAAGAAATGTTTCTTAAGCACCAAATCAACACATTAGAATGCTTTCTGAAGGATCATGTGAACACTGAAGACTTAAGTATTGACTGTTGAAAATTCAGCTTTACCATAACAGGAATTTTCAACGATACTGTGCTTCCAAAGAGCTCTTCATCTCCTTCAGCTGGTTGAAGGAATTAGAAAAAATAAGACAGATGAAAGCATGGTTGTACAAACCGCTGACAAGTCACAAAGACAGGACTCGACATAACTGGAGCAGAGCCCCCTTTTCACCTTCCTCCTCCGCAAAAAAATCTGCACACAAACACTGGGAAACGTGGCTCCCAGCAAATCTACAAGAGGAGGACAGGCAGCCGAAATCAGCATGTATTGATGGTAGATATGTCTGGATTAGCCTGCCGTGTTGCTTAGCATGGCCAGAGCAGATTTTCTCCCTTTTTTTCACACGAGATTGGATTGTGGTGAGTTTTTCCTTTGTTGTGCATTTCCTAACATTGGGCTATAATAGAGTCACTGCTATACGCCATCTGTACAATGCAGTGCTCATATCGACAACACAGGAAACATTCGGCACACTCAAACCTGAGGATATTTCACAATGGACTGGTACTGTAGCTCTGCAGATGGGTTAATTTTGTCTTTCTGTGTCACCCACGGCTGGTAAAGTCGCGGGGGTGGAAGAGGAAGGAGCTGTCGTGCTGAAACAGACGCATCCCTCAGCAGCTCTCAAGAAATCCTACCAACTTAAGTAGAGGTGTTTCTTCTCCACATATCTGAACGGCCTTATAATTAGACACATTTGCTCAGCGTGACTGCAATGCCACATTTCTTGATCTTTTTTTTTTTGGCACTTCCTCTGTATACTTTGCATTAGATGTTTATACTGCACTGATCCCTTTAAGTCTACCGGCGCTGTACAAGATCCTATCATCTCGCAGAGATTGCCAGTGAATTGAAAATTTGGAAATATTTTTATAAGTATACTTTTTTTTACTATTTGGTGCCTGATTAGAAATTATAGATTCACTTTACAGTGTATTTATGGCTTTTCAATGACATATTGCATAATATTACCAAATTTCCTCTGTTTTTATTCTACATTAATGTAGTAAGCTAACAGCTATGACCAGCATTAAGTGGTAATGAATATTTCTTGTGGTTAGGTTAAATATTCCAATAACACATTTTTGATCAGTCACTGAGGAAAGGGGACAGGATTTACACTCTTCAATTAAAATGGTAAGAACAGCATTACACAAGAGTTGTGTATAGAAGTTATTGAGCCTTAACCAATGAATTCAGGTTGGTAAATCATTGGTTTTGCACTTAAAGAATGGCTTCACAAGTTTGCAGGTCAGTGTACGTCAAAACTGCTGCAACGGCACAACTATTAGAAATGCAACCTTTATATACATTCTTTATTTAGGCTTTATTCAAATGGTCAACCCACAAAACGACAAACTTGTTATGAAAAAAAAAACTGCACATAATGTATCATTAAGCTTACATTATGTACACTACTGGTCAAAAGTCAACAAAGGGGTCAATACATCTGAAAAGACATTTTATTTAGTAAAGGAACATTAACTTGATCAAAAGTGAGAGTAAAGACTTAAAATGTCTAACACTGTTCTTTTAAATTTATTTATGCATCATGGTTTCCACAAAAAATATTAATCATCTCAATTGTTTTCAGCATTGATAATAATAAGAAATGTTTCTTAAGCACCAAATCAACACATTAGAATGCTTTCTGAAGGATCATGTGAACACTGAAGACTTAAGTATTGACTGTTGAAAATTCAGCTTTACCATAACAGGAATTTTCAAATATATTAAACTAGAAAATGGCTATTTTAAATTTGAATAATATTTCACAATATTACATTATTTATGCATCATGGTTTCCACAAAAAATATTAATCATCTCAATTGTTTTCAGCATTGATAATAATAAGAAATGTTTCTTAAGCACCAAATCAACACATTAGAATGCTTTCTGAAGGATCATGTGACACTGAAGACTTAAGTATTGACTGTTGAAAATTCAGCTTTACCATAACAGGAATTTTCAAATATATTAAACTAGAAAATGGCTATTTTAAATTTGAATAATATTTCACAATATTACCATTTTTACTGTATTTTTAATCAAATATATGCAATATATACTTCTTTTAAAAACATTAAGAAATATTAGACCCTAAACTTTTGAACAGTTGTGTACATACCAAAATAATGATTTGTGAATGTTTTGTTGAGGTTGAGTTAAATGGAAAAGTATAGTGTGTAAGAATTTTGAGCAGCCTTCAAATTTACACCTGGGCGCCATCAATGAACATTGAATGACGGCGAATGTGTATGTCCATTCATAGAAAACAATCGGTTCGAGTTGCTTGTCATGTCTGTTGTGAGACCCCCGTAAATCTGAGCAGTACATTAAAGGGATGAACAGATTAACCAGATCACACAAGGTTACTTAGTGAGTATTTATTATATTCCATTGAGTCTGAGCTGTAGTATACATACATCGTGTGTCATTCCATTCTAAATCTAGCATGTTGCTTATCCAGGGCTGATCAGCTGCACTGCATAGAAAGGTTGCGGAGAAACATGCTTGATAGTTTATAAAGCAGATTGACAGAGATCAACTGAGCCCATGAGGCAAACCTCTGAAAGGTTTGATCTCAGCGTTCCTTCTCACATTAAAATGTCATTGTATTTCCATCTCCCAAGACTACCGCCTTGTATAACAGGTCTAAAACAAGGCAGAACATCACAACAAGGGCAGCCCCAGAGGTTTGCCTTGCCACTGTATAATGTCTTACAGCGCATTTCATTTATGACTGTTTTTTGATGACTGCAGTTTGCTACTTGCATAATAATCTGAGATATAGCGGTCTGACTATGGAGAGATCCCACAGTGATGTTTGTGTGGTGTGACAGCAGCTCTCACTCCAGCAGCAGTCTCCTCAGTTCCTGCGGGCAGGTTACTGGGAGGGCACAGGCGAAGTTCTCGCACACGTACGCAGTGGCTTTGCCATCCTGGGAAACCAGGGTGGAGAGAATAGGCAGCCTCTGATAAAGGAAACCCTCTGTGTTACCATCTGCCAACATCAGGACCTGAAAAAAAGACAGAGGAAAAAAGGGGGAAGGGAAGAAAAAGAGTCATAACTGCCATCATGATGACAATTAGGTGAGATGGTGGGAGCAGGAGCACAAGTCATATACCTTTAATGCAAAATGTATGACCCAAAGGGCTCCATTTGCTTTCTTGGCAAGTAATAACCCAGAATAAAGTACAGGGCAAGGCGATTATAGTGACAGTCCCATCAATGATCCATTTCTACAGTTTTGTTTATATCTGGGACTTCTATTCCCTTGGGGTTTTACACCAAGCCATAGGCAAAGAAGCTCTTATGGGATGAGATGACCCTGACCTGTCCTTCTTCACATTTACACCTTTAACTCATCAGCATAAAAAACACAATATTAATAAAACACTACTAACACAATATTACACCCCTGTGTGGCATAGTCGCTGACCAGGTAATAATCTCAGAAACATCTGCCACCTGAGCTCTGTGTGGAATTTTAGTGGCATGTTAAAATAAAAATACAATCTAAGTTTGAGAATGAAACCATAATGTTTTACAAATAAATGTGTTGTGATTTGGAAATTCTGCCAAAATGCTTGGAGAATAAAGTTGTAATGTTACAATAGTAAAGTTTTGAGAATATAGTCAGAATGTTGCACAAATTAAGTTGAAATGTTACACAAAGCTGCAATGTTTTGAGTATAAAGTTGTTACAAGAATAAAGTAATGCTTTGAAAGTCATAATGTTCAGAGAATTAAGTCATAAGTTATGTGAAAAAACCCCTAATGTTTTAAGAATTAAGCTATAATGTTACTAGAATAAAGATACAATGTTTTGAAATAATCATAATGGTCTGAGAATGAAAAGAAGACCTGTTAAAAAATAAGTTTGTTAGTAATGTTTTGGGGGGGAAAAGGTTATGAGAGTTAAGTTGTAATGAGAATATCAATGTTACAAAAATAAAGACAAAGTTAGGATATTAGAGGCATGTAAATAAAGTATAAAAATATTTTGAGATCAATATAATAGCAAAAATCATGTTCTGATAATTAAGTTGTAATATTTTGAGAACAAAGTCAATGTTTCAAGAATAAAATCATAAAATTAGGAGATTAAATATATAAATAAGTATTTTTGAAGGAAAAAAATTATGTTAAGAATAAAGTTTGTTGTAATGTTTAAAAATAAAGTCATAATGAGAATGAAGTTGCAATGTTTTGAGAATACAGTCAATATAACAGATGGATGAGAAGGATTTAGGTAAATCCTACTTTTAGTTTTGATTGATAACAAATATTTAATCTAATAATGCTACAAATAGCTTACAATTAAGCTTGTGCCTTAATAATTCAATTCAATTGATCCATGCAGACTGCAGCATCACACCCCTCCCACTCCTTCACCTCGTTCACAGGAGGGGGAAGTCTGAAATAACTCAATCAGGGCCATGTCCAGTCGGGGGGCTGACTGGCACAGCAGCAGGGGAGGACACTGTGGTAGCTACACTAGATTCTGCCTCCTGTAGCAGAGAAGATAATAACCTTTAACTGAACAATACCACAGCAGAACGGGAGACAGCGAAGAGAGAAAAGCAAGAGGCTGAGCTACCCAGTGGCCAAGAGTTACCGAAGGGGAAAGGATGAACGAGTAAATCTACTTTTCCTCAGTGAGACGACTTTACCTCCAAGCCAAAGCTCAGTGAAATCCAGGAGGAGGGCACGGGAAAGGACTTGTGAATGTGACAAAGGTTAAATCTTAGGACAGCTCTCAAGGCTCAGTTTAGAGCCTGCGTTTTGGAAGATATTCCAGGTCTACCAAGAGCCAGACATTCTCTCTGCTTTCTGGTTTTGACACACTCTTGTGTGATTTTTTGACAGGCGTGGTTAACAACTCAACTCTGCGAAACCTGTCCCTGGACTTCTAAGCACAATATATTGTTACTGTCTGTTTGCTAGGATCTTCCCGTTATTGCATCTCAGGGGCCGAGACAATTCCGCATCATTACTTTCCCGCTAGCAGCCTGGCAAGGCTTTCTGTCATATTTGTCGTGACCTCACGCAGGCTGTCTCCAGACTGACTCAAAGAACTGTGACAGTCCACTGAGGCAACATATAAAAAATGACAAGCAGACAAAACATAAACTGAAAAGATGCATGAGGCCTGGGGTTAAGCAAAGACTGGACTTCTCACAGTTAATTTGCGAAGTTTGTTGTAATACTGCAGTGTTTCAAACCACCCTCAATAATTCAGTTTAAAATTCCCATCATTTTAGTGTCATGTTCAAATAAAAATTATGATTTAGAGAACAAAGTAGAAATTTTTTGATAATCTCATAACAGGACTTTTACGAGAATAAAGTCGAGAATAAATTAACAACATTACAAGATTAAATTAGTAATATCTCCAGAATAATGTTTAAAAATTATTGTAATCAAAATCTTATATATAGTACTAAATATAAATACCAAAAAGTGTAACTGGTTATCAATGCATCATGGAGGAATATAATAAATCTAGGATATACACCGATCAGGCATAACATAATATTGTGTTGGTCCCCCTGAGGCCTGGGGTTAAGCAAAGACTGGACTTCTCACAGTTAATTTGCGAAGTTTGTTGTAATACTGCAGTGTTTCAAACCACCCTCAATAATTCAGTTTAAAATTCCCATCATTTTAGTGTCATGTTCAAATAAAAATTATGATTTAGAGAACAAAGTAGAAATTTTTTGATAATCTCATAACAGGACTTTTACGAGAATAAAGTCGAGAATAAATTAACAACATTACAAGATTAAATTAGTAATATCTCCAGAATAATGTTTCAAAATTATTGTAATCAAAATCTTATATATAGTACTAAATATAAATACCAAAAAGTGTAACTGGTTATCAATGCATCATGGAGGAATATAATAAATCTAGGATATACACCGATCAGGCATAACATAATATTGTGTTGGTCCCCTTTTTACTACCAAAAGAGCCCTGGTCTGTCGAGGCATGGACTCCACTAGACCCCTGAAGGTGTGCTGTGGTATCTGGCACCAAGATGTTAGCAGAAGATCCTTTAAGTCCTGTAAATTGCGAGGTGGGGCTTGTTCAGCAAATCCCACAGATGCTCAATTGGATTGAGATTTTTGAATTTGGAGGCCAAGACAACACCTCAAACTCGTTGTGCTCCCCAAACCATTCCTGAACCATTTTTGCTTTGTGGCAGGGCACATTATCCTGGTGAAAGAGGCCACAGCCACCAGGGAATACCGTTTCCATGAAAGGGTGTACATGGTCTGCAACAATGCTTAGGTAGGTGGTATGTGTCAAAGTAACATCCACATGGATGGCAGGACCCAAGGTTTCCCAGCAGAACATTGCCCAAAGCATCACACTGCATCCACCGGCTTGCCGTCTTCCCATAGTGCATCCTGGTTCCATGTGTTCCCCAGGTAAGCAATGCACATGCACCCGGTCATCCACGTGATGTAAAAGAAAATGTGATTCATCAGACCAGGCCACCTTCTTTCGTTGCTCCATGGACCAGTTCTGTGCCCACTGTTGGCGCTTTCGGCAGTGGACAGGGGTTAGCATGGGCATCCTGACTGCTGTGTGGACTGTGATGCACTGTGTAATCTGACGCCTTTCCATCAGAACCAGCATTAACTTCTTGAGCAATTTGAGCAACAGTAGCTCAAAGTAGTCTGTTGGATCGGACTACACAGGCCAGCCTTCGCTCGCCACATGCATCAATGAGCCTCATAATGTTATGCCTGATTGATGTAATTATAATTACATATTGTATATAGTGCTGCAGGGATGATGCATTTTTTATGCCAAATTCCAGAAACAAGTTAGCATTTTGGACTTCCAGTTCCATCGTCCTGAAGTCAATAGGTTTTTGAATTGGTTTTTAATTAAATTCCAGGGGTGTCTATATTAGAGTAAAACGGCTTCTTGGACAAGGAAAAAAATTTAGTGGGACTTGATTTTGTCCAATGATTGGATCATTTTTTGTTGTTTGTTAATCAGTTGTTGTTGTTTGCTAATTGCAGCGATCTCATGTGAATGGCAGGTCGCTGGAGGGGAGGCACTATTGCCTCAAGTGTTGTTTCATTGGATATTGTGAAATGAAGCTGGAGAATTCTGTGTTACTGAATGATATGAGTGAACCTGTGTATCTTAAATAAGCCTACTGAATCGAAGGCCCTGTTTACACCTGGTTTTGAGATGCGTTTTGTTCAATCGGATCACAAATAAATGAGGTAGACATTCCCATTTCCACCTAGTGTTTTAATCCGTCTCTTGTGTCTACTTTCATCTACTTCTGTCTTAATTTTGTTCGAGGGGAGGGGAGGGTATATTGGTGGGTAAATACATTGGCTTTTTAAAAAGAGAACATTGTGCCTGGTATGTTTTGTCTCCAAACCAAACTTAATAGGTGTAAACAGGGTCGAAAGACTGGAATACACTACATGACTTTCAACACATTCTAACCCAGATTTGAAGCCTGCATGAGTCAAAACTAATTGGCGAAAGCCAGGACGAATCTGCAGATTTTGGGCAGCTGGAGTTGAGCATTTTCACAGAAAAAATCTGTATATGATGGGCATGATTTCCTAGCTTCAGACTGTGATTCCATACAGTTAAGAGGATCAGTGTCAGAGGATCTCAGTCGTTTAGTATATGATGCCAGGTTTTCCTCTGTAACCATACAAAGTCAGCAAGTGTATGATGCCTCGTGTTTTAAAATCTGTTCTGGTTTTAAAAGTTGTGTAGTCTATTCCAGCATTAACTGCTACAGCTTTTTCTCATTTCTGTTTACTGCTCCTATATATACAATATATACTCAGATCTAGTGCCACGTTTTTGGAAGTACTGCCCGCTTCCTGACAGCAATTTTACTGTTGTTTATCTTGTTACCTGATCTCTTGTCTGAGCCCCTATTTTAGCCAGTAGTTTCATGTCTTTTGGATGAGTCTGGTAGACTAGTGTTTTGGTCTATCTCTAGCTGCTGGCTCCGCTGGTGTT